GGGTGTGTGTGTGCAGGAGGAGCCAGTCAACGATTCTCTCACATCATTGATATTTCTCTCTCTCTCTCTCCCTTCCTCTCTGAAATCAATAAAAATATATTTTTTTAAAAAGAAAATTTAATTAGCTCATCATATATTTTTACTCATTTCAAACCAAGTAGACAAATAACTACTTTAAAGGATAATATCTTAATGAAATACTACTTACAGTTACACTGTTAACATTCTGAAACTTAACATAGCGAAGTGGAACAATGCCATCTTCTTTAATATCATCCTCTGTTAGTTCCAGAGCTTGAGTTGGTTCACTTCTTTCTGCTTCTTCAAAATCCATAGATCGGGGCAGATTGATAAAAATTTTTACGTATTTAGGACCTTGACCTATAAAATGGTAGAACAAAATGCTAAAAATCAAACATACATTTTCTTCCCTTTATTATTTCATTCATACTATAAAGACACACAAACAAACATATTCACATATCTAAGAAAGTCAGAGTATTTTCACAGCCACTTCTTGGCCTGCTAGCACTATACTCCAGGAATTCTAGATCAAAACACATTCATATATATGTACCCACATACACACAGTTCTTGCCCTCAACTAAAAGATGTACTATGTAAATGTAATACTACTAGTGAGGAGGTAAAGGGAAAGTAGCAATGGAGTCCGACAGTATATGCAGGTTAACAAGTTTCATAAAAGAAACAACATTTGATCAGGGTCTTAGTTGTCAACAACTAGTACATTTTGTTAAGAGGGAAGCTTTAGTGTATGATTAGTCAAAAGGAGGTTAATTATATAAATTGCCAAATTTCATCTTGGGAATTAGGATGTGCTCAGTGGTAAAATCACATTCATAGAGTGTCTTAGTCCCTTTAACTCCAAGGTACAATTTAAACCCATATTTTCTAGCTGATTAAAGAATCTTAAAATATTCACATTGCTTAAATACTCATTTCTACAGCATTTGCTTTTACAAATACTTTGGATTTTCAGAATAAAGACACAGTTGCATTGATAAAACTTAAATATATAAAATTTTAGAATAATCAATGAGAAGGAAATGCTATGTGATACATAGAGTACTGGCTGTTTCTTCTAAGTAATTAAAAAACAAAACCAAACCAAGAAATCTACTCTCTCCTCCCTCCCGCCACTCCAGCCTACCCCAACAACAACAACAAAACTTCCACAGACACAGGAAAAGGAGGAAAGGAGGGCGGAAAGAGTGAATAAGGAAAGTTCTTTATTTAATACAAATAGAAATGCCTAGTCTGTGCAATCGTGTTTACAGCATCATATCTATAAATAATATGAATCTATTAATAGGGCACAAATAAGACTATCTTGAACCTTAGTTTTATCATCTGTAATAGGAGTTTGAAAGAAATAAATTATACCCAGTTTTGATCCTTAACAATGATTACTTCAAACCTAGAGTTTTAGAGTCATAGTTGGAAGAAAGGGTTCACTTGCTTTCAGACTAAGAGGAAACTTAAATTGTAAAATTAAAAATTTTAGAAATAAATCTCACATTGTTTGCCCATTCATTTATATCCTTGCTTTGTTCCAAAAACAATTTCACTCTTTCTTCAAACAAGGAATATCTACCTTTATTGAAAAAATAGAGGTAGACCTTCTAACAGGTCTACAGATCAGAAAGTTAGTTTAGAGAAAAACTGTCCATTACTTACCATTATCTGGCCCTTGAAATTTCATTGAATAAAGCTTCACAGGTTGATTAAATGCCACAGTAATAAGCAGCTGTGAAGGAAATAATGTTTAACTTTAAAAGGGCTCTTGAACACCTTGAGCACACACAACAGCTAAGTAGAATTAATTCAGAGACAAAATTTTTTTAATTTATCTAATAAAACTAATGTAATATGTAAAATCAGTAAGTTGAAAGTAACTTGATTAGACTGACATCTGAAAAATACAATTATCTATTATTCATATAAGAGAATGAAACAAAAAGTTTAATGGAATAATTAACTATAATTATGCATAAGAACATAAGGTCTTGTGACCTATAAACTGGCAAACCATCTGCTTTCTAAAAACTCAAAACAAAATTCCCCAATTAAATTAAAATTTATACTATTTATGCTAACATATAAGCTTACTGTTTTCCAGGATGGTTTATTTGTCAAGCACCTACCTATGTTACTTGATAATTTGGAGACAATGCACAGGTTATGTGGAAAGACTAACCCTCAAATGGACCCTACTTGATTTAAAACTCCAGAGAAGAGGATTCCTACAGCTCTACAGTCGTCTCCAAACCTCCATCCTTAACGTATTTGACTAACTTAATCTGGAAGGCCACATAAGAAAACCGATACAAAATACTGTCACAATGCCTGTCTCTCAGAAAATTGGATTCAATCGCTTTATCTTCTTAACCAAAATTGTGTCTGATGTAGGTGCCTATGCTTCTATCCTGACAGGAAGATTTTAGGAAAGTTGTAGCCAGGCTGCTGATATGTACCATCAAATTATATTCAGAGCACCATTTACGAGGAACACAGTATGAACAATTTTCTCGAAGTTGTATGTTAAGTAGATCTGGTTGGAGCACAGAAAATGGGGTTTAGATTTATGGTTTTAGAATCATTATAGTATGTCTGCCTAAGATTATACCTAGACTATATCCTTTAGTTATATAAGTACTTTTTATACTTGATCTCTAATAGTGTCAAAAAATAATAAGCACAACATGTTTAGGGACCTGAACCACAGGTGAAAGGAGATGAGAGTAAAAGCTAAAACAGATCAAGTCAGCAAGAATGTGACACTCTAAGCCAATGAAGAATCATTTAACTCTTAAGAAAGAAGCATGACTAGAATTATATTTAGAAAAAAAATAGCTTTAGTGAACATGTAGAAGATGAACTGGAATGGGGACAAAGCAGAGTCAGTGGAATACAAAGTAAATTAAGGAAAATAACAGTCAAGATGAAAGATGGCTGATCAAGGCAGAATGACACTACTTCCTCTGTGACAACAATGCAGGGAAGTACAACACAGGTTTACTTCTGGGAGTGAGGATTAGATATACAGGGAGTGCTCATTTTTGGTGAATAAAATGTATGAAAGTTGGGTCAAGAATGAACAAAAGGACTAAAGAGTGGTGAAGGTTCAACTCAGCAGTGGAGTCAACCCAAGAGTTCCACGATTCTCCCTAGCGCACTTGGCAGCTCACACAGAAAGAGAAAAAAAAAGATGGGTCTGCATTAAAAAGATGGGTCTGCATTGGTCAAGGGACAGGGGTCAAAGAAAATCAAAGTTTTAAAAAGAAAAGGAATAGTGGTCAACATAAAAACCATGAGATGGAAACATGATAAAGAAACAAGAGCAGGCATAAATATTGATAATCCCTATGCCTTAACTCAGACATCCAATTACCTGTTCATCACAATCAGACTCCAAGAAGGTCATGTCTTTTCGTAAACAGTTGTCAAATCCATGCTCATCACTTTCATTAAGACATTCACAGCCAGCTTTGTTAATAAAAGGCATTAAATCCATCTGAAAAAATTAAATCAAGATTTTAGGCAAAGCATTTGGATTTGGTTTAAAAATCTTAGTAAAAAACTTAAATTATAATTCTCTCTACATTAGGCAATTTTAGAGAAAATATCTATCGCTTTTAAAATAGTGATTAGCTGTAGCTGGCTTGGCTCAGTGGAGAGTGGGCCTGCAGACTGAAGGGTCCCAGGTTCGATTCTGGTCAAGGGCATATGCCCGGGTTGCGGGCTTGATCCCCAGCTAGGGACGTGCAGGAGGCAGCCGATCAATGATTCTCTCTCATCGATGTTTCTCTCTCTCTCTCTCTCTCTCCCTTCCTCTCTAAAATCAATGAAAATATATTTAAAAAATAATAATAAAATAGTGATTAAACTTTAATAATACTTTCATTTGATTTCTGAGATCTACCTCTAATTATTAAAGCCAAATCTAGGCTTAGCCATTTAATAAGGAATCAGAAACCAAGTCCTTAACACTAAGATTATAAAATATTGACTGATATTCTTTTAATATTGGTATTTAACAGTGGAAAGTATGCAAATTAAAATATCTATAAAATTTGAAGCCTTCCTCCCTCTTCTTGTGGGCATGAACTCTTTAAACCTGTGTCCTTGAAGACCTTACATTAAAGATGACTAGTACTCCAGATACCCACCTCCCAGCTACAATAAACATCAATTCATGCCCACTCCTATTTCATCTTTACCTTGCAACCAGTCCTCAACCTTTCCCGATTATTTTCATGTAAATCTTACATTTTTTTCATTTCACTCAAACATTTCAGTGTGCATTTCTAAGTGATAAGAACTCATTTTTTAAAATCCTCAATATCATCACAACTAAAACAAAAAAATACTATTTAAAAAATCATCAAATATTAGTGTTTAAATTTCCTCAATTGTCTGAAAAGGTGAAGGGATAAAAAAAAAAGTCCTTAATTGTCTCACAAATGTTTTATAGTTGTGTTAGCAGCCCGGTGCACGAAATTCATGCACGGGTGCGGTCCCTAGGCCTAGCCGGCAATCGAAGCATGAGCATTTGGGGAAGGGCAGGTCTCAGCTGACCTCTGACCTCTGGGCAGCACCTGGGCCTCCAAGGCCCCCCCACATGCCCCCTTCCGCTTGAGTCACTTCGTCTGAGTCCCCACGCAAAGATGCAGTGAGCGTGGCAGGATGCTGCGGGCCAGGGCGCAGTGTGGGCCTCTAGGTTGCCCAGCGGAGCTGCATGGAAGCCGGGCGAGCAGCATGCTCTCTCCCGGCGGGCCTCGCAGACTGGCTCCTGCGTGAACCCATGGGGAGCCAGACCAGCCCCTGCGGTCTCAGCGCTGGTCTCAGCGGCTGCGGCCGGGCTCACCCAAGGAAACTGTGCTGGTGCAGGGCGGACTCCTCACAGGCCTGGTACCTAAGCCCAGGGAAGGGTTGCAGGGGGAGTGAGAGTGAGAGCGGTGGACACCCAGCATTCTCACCGCACCTCTGTCCCCGTCACAAGAGGTTGCAGCCCGTCGCCTATGCCCGCCATGTTCCGCGCCCTCCCTGGTGGTCAGTGCATGTCATAGCAAGCAGCTGAACTCCCAGTGGAGGGAACAATTTGCACATTAGGCTTTTATTATATAGGAGGATTGCTAGACTCAGAATGAGAATCAAAAAAGTACAAAGACTGTATTTGGTTAACACGTCTCTTAAATATCTTATTCTAGTCATTTAGCCTACACATTTCTAATATTCTGAGTTTTGCTGACTGCTTCCCTGTGGTGTCACTTAACATATTCCTGTTATCTGTTAGCTAATATTGCCGTATTTCCAACACGATGTGCCAAGAGATGTGGTGAGTGTCCATCCTTGTCTTGTTTCTGACTTTAGTGGAATGCCTTTAGTGCTTCTCCATTTAAGATTTTATTCAATGCTTTATAGTAAATGAGTAGTAAATTTTGTCAAATACCTTCCCTGCATATTATGAAATCACGATTTTTCTCTTCTGGATTGCTGGATTTTGTTTACTAATATTTATTTTACAACAATATTCCTAAGTGAAACTGGTCAGTAGCTTTCTATTTTGTGCAAACTATCAGATTCTGGGATCAATATCAGACGTACTTCAAAAGAAATTTGAAAGTTTTCTCTCTTTTTACGTGGTCTTAATAAGTACTTGCAGTAACACTAGGCTATCTGACCTTTAAGATTTGGTAGAATTCCCCTGTGAAGCCATCTTGACCTTTATGCAAGTGCTCTTTTACTAGTTACTCTATTTCTTCTATTTCCTCTACAGTGACTGGTCTATTTAAGCATTCTGCTTTTGAAAGAGTTGATTTTGATAAACTGTATTTTTCTATAAAATTATCAATTTCATCCACTAAACAAGGACAATTTTTAAAGCTTACCAAATATTATAGATTATCAGTTACATGTTCACCTTTCTATCAAAGAGTATTACATATTTTTTTATCCAGAGAAATTAAGGCAGGTATAAATAGTTCTGAAAGACTAAAGGAAACTTTTTATATGTCAAATAATTATCAATATGGCAATAATCCATTAGAATAGACCCTAATTATTCTTGTGGTAGCCTAAATGTTTTTAAAGCCAAAATGTTATTTTCTATTACATTAAATATGACATTACATTAAATGTTAAATATATTACTCAGTATAACATATTGTAGTCAACTCAAAAAGAGGGGGGGAGGTAAAAAAAAAAAAAAGGAGCACTATAGAGCAAAGTGTTAGAGAAGTATGCTGAACTTCATGAGTATTTGCCTTGAAAGGGTGTTTTAACAAAATCTTTTAAATGCTTAGTTCTTCCATCCTACTGAGGTGCAGCTTCAATACATCTCCGATTAAGATCCCAGGCATGAAGACAACATTGTAGTCATACTTCCAATACCTTAATGATAAAAATAAACTAAATAGATTACTTATTTTAAATAGATTTTAGATTTATATATTGTGGGGCACACAAAACAAGAATTACATTCAAACAGTTGCATTAAAGTGCTTTGTATATCTCAAATAAATAGGCGTTATATTGTATATTTGACATAACTGCCAACTGACATATTCTGACAATATGCAGTGGGAAATAAATATCACCTGTCTATGTAACAACTTGCCAATAATAAGGAAAGAGTCACAAGAAATAAACAGACAAATCCAGATTGTGGGACAGTCTATAAGACAGATGGTCTAGACCTGAGCTGTATAATAAGATAGCCATTAGTCACATGTGGCAATTTAAAATTAAATTAATTAAAAGTAGATAAAATTAAATTTTCATTTCCTCAGTTGCCCTAGTCATATAACAAATGCTTACTAGCCACTTGCACCTAGTGGCTATTATATTAGACTGGTGCTGGTTAAACTTTCAAAAAAGGCAGTCATGAAAGGAAAAAAAGGCAGAGAAGTTTCTAGACTAAACAACACTAGAGAGAACTGACAACTTAAATACAATGCACGATCCTTGATTTGATCCTACATGGAAAAGAAAATTATAAAGTATATTTTAAAGATAATTAAGGAAATTTGAATGTAGGCTGTACATTAGAGATACTGTAGCAATATTAAATTTCTTAGGAGTGATAATGGTATCATGGTTATGCAGAAGAACGTCCTTATTCTTCAGAGCTACATGCTAAAATACTGAGAGATGATCCATCATGTCTATAACTCACTTTTAAATGCTTTTGCAAAAATTAAACATAGAAAGATACCAAAATGGAGCAAAATCCTTAAAATATCTACAACTGATGAATATAGGTGAAGGGTATATGTGTTTGTAGTATTACTGTCAACTGCTTTGTTTTTTAATAACTTTCACTTTGTTTTTCCTTTTTTGTTGGTTTTTTTGAGGGGGTAATCCAACATGAGATACACAGAAAATTACAAAACCTTTCCATTCTTCAAGTTTTTGATTAAAGAAATATCTACTAACTATACAAATTAGGGTCATTTAATGTCTGGTTTTTGATAAATGATCACAAATTTGTAGACCAAAACTTAAAGTTCTGAGGTCGAAATACTTGAATATATTAACAAGCCTCAAGATTCAGAACATGTGCAAGTTCAATTCCAGAATGCCTCACATTCAAACTTTGGGAAAGAAAGAGTTGTTTAGAAGGCATGAGGGGAGCTATTTGAATCTATATTATGTGCTCTTAGCAAATTATGGGACAGAAAAGATATGTTTTAAATTTTCCCAACTCCAATAAACATTTACAAAAATTAAATACTTATGCTCACAACAACGCCCTCTTACTTCTGAATAAGAATCTGTTATGAACCTTAACCTTTTGAGTATCTTTAGCAGTATCTCAAACTCCCCTAAAAGATACATGTACGTATTACTCTAGCTCCAGTCAAATTAGGAGTTTCAAAACTATGGCATGTATAAGATAAATAATTGTATAGCCTTTAGTATTAAAACATAATAACTAAAAGTCTTTATTCCAAGAAACCAAAAATTGTTTTTTAAAATTGTTGATACATTTTTATGCTTATATTTAAATCTACTTAAGACACTGGTTTTCATTCAATGTTTCTTACTCCATTTAGTTTCTATTTGTGTTGTGGGACAAATGTTTTATGGGAACACATTACCAATATTAAATATTTAACAACCCTTTTAAGATGTACATAGTTCAAAACTTTTCATGTCTTGATTGACATCAGATGGGAAAAATAAAAATATTTTAATAGCTCTTCACAGTGTATTCATAACATTTGCATGAAAACTAATTATTTTATTTCTTAAAACTTTATTTTTCCTGCTTATTTTCCTACCCGAGGCCAAAACGCTGATATCACATTAAGCTGATGTGTAAAAAAGTATCCCTGTAGCTAAGGAGGAGGACTATTGTGCTCTTAAGATATTTTCTTGCCAACACCCTTAGTAATAAAAGGTAAAAAATACAAAGATGTGAACATAACTTACAAGTTAAATGACTTTCAAAATTTTCCAAAAGGTGTCACAACCCTAACTTACACATGTTCAAACTTTCTAACCAGATATTACTATTTCAAATAATTATATAACAGTTCTATTTAAAATAAATATTAATTGCACATCCCTAACTAAAAATAATTAATGTCAGTACATATTAAAGACACAACCCCACCACACCTACACACACAGAGAGAATCTCTCATATTTCCCTGACTATAGTTTCTCCTTATTCAGCAAGAATTTAAGGACTTACATAAAGGACTTGTAGCCCCATAATACAGATCTGCTTTAATGTACTCACTATACATGCTTTCAAATATTAATTTTAATTTGAGGTAACACTTTTAAAAAAATCATTTTTTGATCTGCCAAAACAGTAACTTTATTTACTGATTTGCATATGCAAATCAGCTACCACAAAGTGCTACTTCTGAATTTTACTTCCTAAATAGCTCTCAAAATATAGACATTGCATTATTAACTATTCGTATTAATTTTCAATATATTCTTAAGCTCTTAAGTCTTCAAGTTATTATTTAGAATAACAATTTACTCTTAAAACTAGAAAAACAATACTCAAGTCATATTTGGTTCTAAAACAAAATCATTAACTAGCACATTACGTTTTGAGGGAAAAATGTATTTTTAAGTCTTAAAATGGCTATTAAAATAGTTCAGAAAGCAGATTTTAAGTCACAAAGAAATTAAGTCAGGAGAAATTCAGGAAAAGCTTATGATGGGAAATAGGTTATAACACACATATAGACAAATCCCAATAGTCAGCCAGTAAGTTTACTTTTAAAGTTCTTATTTGAAAGTACTTCAAGCAAGTAAAAGATAAACATGAAAACAAAGTCAATTTTACTTTTACCAAATAATGGCAAATGGAAGGTATATCAATGATTTCACTAGAAAGTCTACATACATAGCCTTTTGGAATATCTGTGTCCTCATTACTTCCAGGGTCATTTTCTAAGTGCTGCTTGATTTTTTCTTCTAGTCCCACAGCATCTGCTCCTTGATATTGATCAATCCTCACTTTGTTTCGAAAAAACAAAAACGTAGGTGTTGCTGATATGTTGTTGGTGGCAGCTGTTCCCTAGAAGTGGCAAGTTAAATAGCATTATGAATTAAAAATAATCTTAAATCACTTCGAATATTTACTCTGTATCCCTATGGAAGTTAAATATCATGGACTAAAGACATGTAAAATAATTTATTCCTAATAGCTACTTAAGAAAAAGCAGGCCTATGCCGAAACCGGTTTGGCTCAGTGGATAGAGCATCGGCTTGCGGACTGAAAGGTCCCAGGTTCGATTCCGGTCAAGGGCGTGTACCTGGGTTGCGGGCACATCCCCAGTAGGAGATGTGCAGGAGGCAGCTGATCGATGTTTCTCTCTCATCGATGTTTCTAGCTCTCTATCTCTCTCCCTTCCTCTCTGTAAAAAATCAATAAAATATATTTAAAAAAAAAAAAAAAAAAAGAAAAAGCAGGCCTATTCCCTAAACTACATTACCAACTGGGGCACAACTACATTACATTATTAGTTTTACATACACAATGAAGAACAGCCCTATACTTTTATCAGTTTTAGCATTAAACACTTCACACAGTAAAACAAGTTAGCTGCTTTATAGAAACTGCTTTACAATGCCAGATAGCTCTCTCATAACTACATACTGTTTCCCAAATGAGTATTGATATGTCAGCACAAACCACTGGTGCTAAGAAAAAATACACATATGAAAAACAGTAGCCCATCTGACCATGAAACTTAGGTAACATCCTTTGCATTGTAATCCTCACCCAGTTCTACTCTTATAGAAATGCCTTCTGATCTTTTTAAATTCTGTTCCAACGCCACAATTTTTACAAGATAACTAGTGAATGGAAATTAGTTAATAAATACTGATTCATGAGAATTATAAAGGAAACAGTAAAGCAATTGTGTCACCTTACATATTCAAATACTATGAATATGCACCATCATATCGTCTAAAGAAAAGGCATCAAGTTTACATAAAGTGTCTTCTCTAAACCTCATAAAAGACAGATCTTTTAGAACAGTGCTGTCCAAAAGAAACATAACGTAAGACATGAATGTGAGCTGCATATGTAATTTAAAATTTTCTAATATCCACTATAAAAGAGTAGAGAAAGAAGTGAAATATGTAACTACAAGAGAGCATAGCTCCAGAAGTGAGAAGAAAGCACTTCCAGGTCAGAGATGGTGAATACTTAAAATAGGAGCCAAGCTGGGCCGGTGTGGCTCAGTGTTGAGCGTCGACCTATGAACCAGAAGGTCACGGTTAGCTTCCCAGTCAGGGCACATGCCTGGGCTGCAGGCTCGACCCCCAGTGTGGGGCGTGCAGGAGGCAAGTGATCAATGATTCTTTCTCATCACTGATGTTTCCATCTCTCTCTCCCTCTCTGAAATCAATAAAAATTTATTTAAAATAAAAATAAAAAGTAATAGCCAATATTACAGACTGGTAGTATGTGACATAGGCACTAAATAATGAATGTTAATATAGGGTTTACACTAACCAAATCCCCAAACTACTAACTACAAACTAAAGAACATTCTAAAACATTTCCACACTCAGAAATGTAACAAAGCCTCACACACACACAGAGTAGCTACAGTGCTGTCCCTTAGAGCTAAAGACTATATTTTTAGTGCTGTAAGGAGCAACTCCTCCATATTTCTACATATGAAATTGCAGAACTGTCACACAGCCATTCCAACTAAGTAATCAGGACAATCTATCTACAACAGTGGTTCAATCAAAAGTAACCAACATTTTAAAATTTCTGCTGAGTATGCAGCTTTGGAGCTAAGATCACAAACTGATCAATGCAAATCAAACTATAGGGTAGAACAAAAATAGGTAGGTTTACAGTTGTTCGCATGGAAAATAATACAATAAAATAATAATACAAGAATAAACTGTGTTTCGCATACTCACAAGTGTAAACCTACTTTTGCCACATCCTGTATAATCAAGAATTTTCTGCTACAGCTTTCTAATCAGCCAATGCCTCTGTAGAAGATATAATTCTAGATTTGCAAAAAATAAAGAAATGTAAAAAAATACAGAACTGGCAGGTGACCTATTAGTTTAACAACATAATATTAGTTTTTATATCAGAAAGCTACTAACACAAACAAACTCAGAAGCAATTAATATAACTGAACTACCCTTCTTAACTAATGCAGCCATAATGGGCATTTATAATAATCATTATCAACATAACATTTTATTATCTTTAAAGGAGTACTATATACACAAAAAGATAAACGATGATATTAATGTTGAAATTCCAAACAGATTTTTAAACAATTTTTTTTTAAAGGGCTCCTTTCCCTTACCTGACACTGGTGTACATCTACTTCCAAGAAAACTGCCTGTGGATACTTATTACTCATAGTACTGAATGCTGGGGCAATCCTTAAACATGGTCCACACCTGTGAGAAAGGTAGGGAGATATTGGTAAAATAACACCAAAGATTGTACTACTTTATACTCTGAAGAACTTGTGTCAATTAAAACATAAAATAAAAAACAAATTCTGATCATCCTGGCTTTAGACTCCTAGTCCTTTCCACTGGACTATTTAGATATACTTGCATCAATACCACATTGCCTTTTATTTAGAAAGGGAGAGAAGGAGGGAGAGAGGGTAACCCCACTAGCTTTCTGCAATTCATTAAGAACCAAACCCACAAAACTAAAACTTTTAAGTTGACCTAACCTAACACAATTATTTGGTGAGAACTGAAGACCAGAAAGTTTAATGATTTGTTCAAGATCAACCACTCTAGTTGATGTCAGGACCACAACTAGAATAGTCAACTCCTAAATCCAGACCAAAATGAGCTTTCCCTGAAGAGTAATTGTGCTAAGAGTAATAAGCTAGAAACAAAAGAACAAATATTATGATTCCACTTATATGAAGTACCAAGAAGAGGTAAATTCAAATACAGAAAGTAGAAGAGAAGCTACCAGAGCTGGAGGTGTTTGTGTGCGAGGGGGGTGAGGGGAGATTGAGAGTACTATTTAAAGGGTAGAGTTTCCATCCGAGATGATGAAAACATTCTAGGGAATATATAGTGGTGATGGTAGTACACTGTGAATGTACTTAATGCCACTGAATTGTATACTTAAAAATGGTTAAAATAGTAAAATTTATGTTACATATATTTTACTACCTATAAAAAATGAGAAAAAAACTAGAGAGAGCCACTGAAGATTCTTAAATGGAAGAGTGACAATCTGTGTAGTGTTTTAATAAAATTAGTAGACAGGATAGCTAAAGCATGGGAATGACAAATAAGGAATAAAGGTTTTGCCGAGACCGGTTTGGCTCAGTGGATAGAGCATTGGCCTGCGGACTGAAGGGTCCCAGGTTCGATTCCGGTCGGGGGCATGTACCTGGGTTGCGGGCACATCCCCGGTGGGAGATGTGCAGGAGGCAGCTGGTCGATGTTTCTCTCTCATCGATGTTTCCAACTCTCTATCTCTCTCCCTTCCTCTCTGTAAAAAATCAATAAAATATATATATATAAAAAAAAAAGTTTCTCGGAACTTATAAAAAAAAAAAAAAGGAATAAAGGTTTTAAAATAGGGTTGGAAAGGAAATGAAGTAGGTGCTGCAGGAAACTATGTTCTTGGCCTAAAATGGGACATTAACTTTGATCTAAGAGGTTTCTTACATGATTTAACTTGATATAGTTCGATGTTTGAGGGTCTAATACTGATGCCAATATATGTAAATCTGGAGTCACAATGGCACAGAGTTGGTGTAGGAATGTATTAATGGCCAAAATGTTAAAAGAACTTTAAAGGCAAATACAATGTTATCAGATTTGTAAATATTACCTAATACTTTTGAATTTAAGTTATCTAAATTCAACTATTTTACTTGCTCTCAGTTTTTACAAAGAAAACAAAATGTTCATCCCATCAAAATACCCTTTTTAAAGTAAATAAGAGCCCTGGCCGTGTTTCTCAGTGGTTAGAGCATCCAACCCTTGGACCAAAGGGTTGTGGGTTTGATTCCCAGTCAAGGTCAGGGTGGGTGAAGGTCGAGTGCTGCAAGCAACCAATCTCTCTGGCATGGATGTTTCTTTCTCTTTCTCTCTCCCTCCTTTCATCCCTTCCACTCTCTAAAAAAAAAAAAAAAAAAAATCAAAGGAAACATTCTCAGGTGAGGGCAAACAAATAAAATAAATTACTCTTTTAAAAAGTAAATAACTGCTTCTGATTGGTAACCAATCAATGTCTAAGGTTATGTTTACTAGTATGGTTAAATGATAATATATTGCTGAAGGAGGTGTTTCCTTAATAGCAACATTTCCCCACTTTTCTCACTTCAATTAATAACTTATTGCTCTGTCATCTCTCCCGTTGCTATGGTAAGGGGGTGGAGGAAAAAAGACTCTATCATTGAGGGATAAAAGTATAAGTGCTGTCACTGACTAGAATTAGGAAAGTGAACTAAAAATGAGATTCACTGCTAAAATCATCTCTTCCCACCTGGCTGGCATGGCTCAGTGGTTGAGTGTAGACGTATGAACCCCGAAGTTACGGTTTGATTCCATCAGGGTACAGGCTCGATCCCCAGTGTGGCACATGCAGGAGGCAACCAATCAATGATTCGCTCTCATCACTGATGTTTCTGTCTCTCTCTCCATCTCCCTCTCTGAAATCAATAAAAATATATTAAAAATAAAAAGTAAATAAAATCATCTTTTCTCTTTTCCAACTCTGGCTTAAGTCCTTAACAAATGTACAAGTATTCCCCCATAGTAAGAGCATAGATAGACATTACAAAATTGCTAAATCTGGGAAGGCACATTTGTAGAACTCTGACCTTCCTCTTAGATATGTCTTTATAAACAAAATCTTCATCCTCCTCAATGTAATAAATATCGAAGTCCACATGTCAAACGCGTATTCCATTCCACCATATAAAATTCAACATACTGCCTTTTTTCAATTCTGTATAAGAGACACTGGTCCAAAAATAAGTCCTAACTGGTTTTCATCTCTATCTGCAATTTTCCATCCCCTAAAACTATCTAACCCTAACATCATTTCTTCTATACTCAACATTTATTGAATCTTGTTCAGTGGCTGTGAAACACTTTTTGCTCTGGGATTCAAAATATTGCCTTGTTTATATAGTTAGTTGGGCAATAAAATGCATCACATAAACAGCGACAACCACAGTAGATTTCTCCAAGTTAGCGCGTAAGTGTAAATGTCAGGGGGTCAAGATAAATCAAGTGGATACCTCTAAACCTTATACCTAGACACTGACATACACAAGGGGTGTTCAGCAAATAGACACACTCGCTCAAACCTTGGTTCTGAATGCCTAGTTCCAACAGGTCCCTCTCACACAGGAACACTGCACACCCAACCAATATGGAAGATCCACAAGCTCCGAGACCCATAAATCATGTTAAGAGCTACCTCGGCCAGTGGGCAGCTTATCAAGATCCCTGCGTTTGCCGGTCTGGCTCAGTGGATAGAGTGTCAGCCTGTGGACTGAAGGGTCCTGGGTTCGATTCCGGCCAAGGGCACAGGCCTAGGTTTAGGGCTCGATCCCCAGTAGGGATCGCGCAGGAGGCAGCCCAGGAGGCAACAGATGATTCTCTCTCATCAGTGATGTTTCTCTCTTTCCCTCTACCTTCCTCTCTGAAATCAATCAATCAATAAATATTTTTAAAAGATCCTTGTCTTCTTAAATCATTGAGTAAAAAAAAAAAAAAATGCAGTCTATATGATCAAACCCAAACGTCTGGACACCTATCTACCTGTATTATACACACCTACTATAATTTTTGTGTTCACACATGAAATCACATACCCAGGGACGCCTAAGTTACAAAGCTACTAACCAAACAAGTACCAAAAACGTTAAGAAATTAAAAAGCACCCTGACCCAACATTAAACTTAATTTAAAATGCATTCGCTGAGCCTTTGGGTTAAGCACTACGCGGATCCGTTGGATAGATCCACGGGAAGCTTCCAAAGGCGAAATGCAGGTGGTGCAGAGTATCAACGTGTGCGGTAAATTGAGATTTCAGGGTTTCTAAGATGCAAGTGACAGCTGGCTCCCTGGAAAGAGAGGAACAGACGCGAGCAGGGGCGGATGTCGGAGGCTCCGGACCAGAGAGAACAGCGGCGGGCCACCTCAAGAGCAGGGCTCGTCTGAGTATTCAAAGTGAGCTGGCGGGCATCCCCTGGGCTGGGGAAGCGGGCAGTCTGGCTTCCGTGCCCGCTAGAGACTCCCCGGTGCGCAAATGGGGACCAGACCCAAGAGCTGAGGCCTAACTGAGCAGCGGCCTGGGGCTGCGGTCAGAGCCAGACATTCCAGAGCAGGACGAGACCACCGGGGAGCCGGGACCCGGAAAGGGTGAAAGGCAAGCACCGGCGGACAGAAGGGCCCACGCGGCTCGGGCCCGGCCTCACCCTCGCATGGTGAACTTGACCACGGCGAGTCTGGAGCCGGCGCCGCTCAGCTCCGGCTGGAAATCCGGGTCGCTCCCGACCGGCTTCACTCCCACCATTCTCGGGGCCCGGAAGGGAGGCCGCGACGCCACCCGCTGCGAAACTGAAGGAGAAGACGACCGGGAGAGGAAGCGGGGATGCTCGGAAGGCCGAGGCCTGGACAGAGGCGGCGGCGATCGCGGAGCGGCTCCCGGGGCTCTCAGTGCCGAGTCACGCCAGGAGCCGAGCGGCGAGGGGGCGGGAACGCGAGAGGGAGGGAGGAGGCAAAGGGAGGTAAGGCGTGCAGCTCCCAGCAGCCACCGCGCGGCAAGGCCGCCGGCGCTTGCGCAAGTTGACGTCATTTCCGCGTCGTCTGTTTTGGCTCCCGCCGCCCAATCCAGATATGCGCTCCGTGGCCCCACTCCACTGAGGAGCTTTTCACTGGCCAGAGCTGCGCAGGCGCAGACGAGCCGCGGTCACAGGCTCAGGTGCAGAGTACGACGCAAGAACTCCTGTGTTCCTCCGCGGTTAGTGAGACCGCGCCTTTTCTCCTGGAGTTTCTTGGGGCGGGAAGGTGAAAAAGGAGCCCCCTTTTCCCGGGGTTCAAGGCTACAGTTATTTACGGGTCTCATAATACGTGGGCGCTCTCTGTGCAATCATCCAGAAAAAAATTATGCATTTGTCTTTAAGTTGTGTCAAAAAAAGAAAGAATAGAAAACACTGTCCGTCTTTCAGGGACTCCCACTTTAGTGATAGACGCAAACAGTATTTACGGAACAAAGACGTTTGCAAAGGAAACGGGGGAAACAAATGAAATAGGAGGATGGGGCAGGGAAAATTTCCCAGGAGATGTGACCCCTGAACTGAGTCTTTTATTTTTATTTTTAAATTCTCATTCTAGGATTTTTTTTCCATTGATTTTTTTTTTTTTTTTTTTTTTTTTTTTTAGAGAGCGTGGAGGAGGGCAGAGAGAGAGAGAAACATCTATTGCTTGCCTCCTGCATGCGCCCCAACCGGGGCTGGGGATGGAGCCTACGACATAGGTACATGCCCTTGACCAGAAATCGAACACACCACCCTTCAGCTGAGGGCCAACGCTCTAACCATTGAGAAATGAGCCAGGGCTGAACTGAATCTTTTTTTTAAAATTTCTTTATTGATTAAGGTATTACATATGTATCCTTATCCCCCCATTGCCCCCCCACCCATCCCCCACTCATGCCCTCACGCCCCTGTTGTCTGTGTCCATTGGTTAGGCCTATATGCTTGCATACAAGTCCTTTGGTTGATCTCTCCTCCTTACCCCCACCCTCCCCTACCTTCCCTCTGAGGTTTGACGGTCTGATGGATGCTTCTCTGTCTCTGGATCTGTTTTTGTTCATCAGTTTATGTTGTTCATTATATTCCATAAATGAGATCTGAACTGAATCTTGATAAAGAAGAAAGGAATAGCCAGACGGTGAGAGGTGAGGGGTATTCCAGACAGAGGAACCAGCAGTGCAAATGCATGGGTTGAGAGGGCTGATGATAATAATAGTACCTAATATGTGATAAGTTATGTGTCAGATACGATACAAACTCATTGTGTGTATTAGCTCATTTAATTCTTACAACCACCCTGTGAAGTGAGTTCTATTATTCACCTTTAGACTAATTTTCCCAAGTTCACACACCTAGCAAGAAGTCAAATTTGCATTCAAGTTCAGGCTGTCTAACACCAGGGTGCTAAGGGACAAGTCAAATGATTTGCTTTTGGATTTAGCTGGGGAGATGAAATTGAAGAGGGAGGCAGTAGTCAGATCATAACTAGTTGACAAATGCGTATCTTTACATGAAGGTAATGAAGTAATCACTTCGTGGCAATTTTGTGATTACAAGTGTCTTTAGATAAAGCCTTGAGGCAGTTGTGAGGAGGATGGAAGGCAGTGAGACCAGTTTAGGAGGTTATTAAAGTAACCCAAGAACTGAGTTGAGAGCAGCTGCAGTGGAAATGTGGAGGTAATGATATATTTGAGAAACAATTAGAAGATAAGAGCCACCGGGTTTGGTGACCAGTGTGGACCCAATTAGTGAGATGACAGAGGGAGGAATCTAGAATAATGCAAATATTTAAATCTGTGCTTTTTACTGAGTTAAGATGCCTGAGGATACCCAGGTGAGGCATACAGTAGAAGGTAGGAAGGATGAGTCTGAAACTAAAGAAAAAGGAGTAGGTTACACTTACAGATTTGAGAGCCATTAGTTTGGGTGATAATTGAAGCCCAAGAAATATGAAAAGAGAAGGCTGAGGGTGCTTCAGAAACAAAATAATTATCCCTAACTGAACCTAGCCAGAGCAGAGCCATTGTAACTGCATTCTTTTCTCGAGATACCAGCACAGTTTAATGGCTTTAGAGCCAAATAGACAAAAGTTCCAATAACAAATCTCTGCTACTTATTCTTTTGTGGTCATGAATAAGTCACTAACCTCTCAGAACCTCAGCTTTCTTGACTGTGAGAACTGGTTTGATAATACCTACTTTCTAGGATTGTGAGGATTAAGTATAATAGTATATGATATATGTCAAATGAATGAGAAAATAAGGTACTCAATAAAAGATGTTTAGAAGCAATGGCATATTAGCTAGCCTGCCTAATAAAATACTGAAGCCTGAGTGGCTTACACAAAAGAAATTTAATTCTCAGAATTCTTGAGACCAGAATTCCAAGAGCAGGGCACCTATCATGGTTGGTTTCTCCTGAGGCCACTCTCCTTGTTTTGTAAATAGCCTCCTTCTTGCTGTGTCCTCACATGGCCTTTTCTCTGTGCAAGCATGTGCACATACACACATAAAGCACACATACTCTTGGGTCTCTTCCTCTTCTTGTAAGGACACCGTCCTTACATTAGGGCCCCAACCTACAACCTCATTTAATCTTAATTACCTCCTTAAAGAGGCCCCATCTCCAAATACAGTCACATTGGGAGTTAGGGCTTCAACCCATGAGGTGTTTTTTTTGGGGGGGGGGAGGCAGACGCTCACAGCTCAGTACGTAACAGGTGGATTATTATTATTCCCAATGGTCCTCCCAGTTTTGCCTTAAAAGCAAACAGAGCCCGTCAGTCATGGCTCAGTAATTGAATGTTGACCTATGAACCAGGAGGTCACAGTTCAATTCCCCATCAGGGCATATACCCAGGTTGCGGGCTTAATCCCCAGTGGGGGGTGTGCAGGAGGCAGCTGATCAATGATTCTCTCTCGTCATTGATGTTTCTATCTCTCCCTTTCCCTTCCTCTCTGAAATCAATAAAAGTATCTTTTTAAAGCAAACAGAGTCTCTACTAAGACAGCTATAGTAAATATTAAGGGGTGATATGTGAAAGCAAGACCTTAGAAATCTATAGATTCCTGAGAGGCAAGATAGAGGCATTGTAAAAATTAGACCTGATGGGGCATTTTGTTGTTTATTTTCCTTGTGTTCCTTCACATCCACTCTCAACTTTCCTTTACCCTGCTCTTAGCTCTATAAAGCTGACCCATACAGACTACATCAATAGGATGCTTTGTTGGAGCTTCTTTTTGGAGATTGAAGGGTAAACGAAAGTGAAATCCAGTTATTGATTCTGTCAGCACCCATCTGCTGTGTTTCCACAGATTAATTGTGTCTTAACCAAAGGCTCTTCATATCCTTTTGCATTCCTAGAACCACAATTTTCCCTTGTCCCTTCAACCCTGAAAATAGGAATCACTCCTGGCTGTTGGTAGTACATGTCACATAATCAGCAAAAACACTGGCCACCGAAATCCCAAATCTAGGACCTCTCATGGGAAGCAGAGATACCTGGAAGCCATAATTCTTAGATAGGCTTCCCATGCTTTATGGCAGGAACCATCTCCAGTCACCAACCAAGCTCATACGTAGCTAGTAAGCTCAGGTATTATGAGCGCATGAGCAACACTCAGGGATTTCACTCTCCTAATGCAAATAGAGGTCTTCTGGTTTGAAAAGAATTATTTCTCCTCCCTAATGGTGTGGAGACCCAATACCCCTCCTTACAGTAAAACTTTCCTACTCACCACTCATTCTTGATGTTTTTGTCTTTAGTTTCTCCTTAATGACACCATCCTGTTTTTTATTCTCCCAAAACCTGTGGCTAGCTTTAATACTTTCCTTCCTAAATTCTCCTCAATTACCCCCTTCTAATATGTCATCTTTTTTTTTTTTTAAATATATTTTATTGATTTTTTTACAGAGAGGAAGGGAGAGGGATAGAGAGCTAGAAACATCGATGAGAGAGAAACATCAATCAGCAGCCTCCTGCACACCCCCCACTGGGGATATGCCCGCAACCAAGGCACATGCCCTTGACCGGAATCGAACCTGGAACCCTTTAGTCCCTAGGCCGATGCTCTATCCACTGAGCCAAACCGGTCAGGGCTAATATGTCATCTTTTATTGTGACCCCGACTGATATAAAAATTAAAACAAAAACAATTAAACACCAGGGAAATTGGAGCCTGGAAGATTAATAAAGCAAGCTGCAGGTAAATTTTTGAGAGTTGGCAGCATAAAAGTCATAGTTTTATGCTGTAACTCCATGAGTTCATCAGGAATTACACAGAAAAGAAGGGGTTAGAACAGAAATCGAAGGACAAGCACAAGTGGGGAGTAAAATGAGAAATGGGGGTTTACAAGAGAGCAGAGAGGTAGGAGGAAAATCACAGAAGTCAGGATCAAAGACCAAAAGGAGGGAACCTGAGGAACATCTTTGAATGTAGTAAGGGGTTCATTGGTTATCATCCAGAGAGCCAGTGCAATTCAGTGAATTAAGATTGAAATCAGCCCACAAATCGTCCATGGCCTCTAGTGTGCCAGGCACTGTGCTAGATCCTCAGCAGTTAGACATGAGTCCGACATCGTCCTGGCCTTGATGAGTCACTCTTGTGAGAGATTCTCCCACAATTCAGAGATGCAGGCCAGGTGGCAGTTGTCCCTGTTCTACTGATGACAAGACTGCCTCTCAGAGAAGCGTGTAACTTAATTATGCAGCTGCTTTAGCTCTGTCCAGGCTGCACTCAAAATTCCATAGAAACAAACATTACAAATGTGCCTGGATACTTTTAGCAGATTTTATTGCAGAGTGATGCTTTTTGGGTGATTTTTTTCTCATCTATAGTTTCTAAATTTCTTCAGTAATTATAAATAGTATATACGATAATAATAATAAAGAAAGAAGGCACAGCTGGAAAATAAAGTCCTACTCAGGAATTCAACAAAGAAGATCCTTCT